CATTCATAAAATTCTCCAAAGAACAAGGTAAACATTAAATCTCATTCAGAGACAGCATAGTGAAGCTTAATACGTTAATCCACACACAAAAAAAACAAAATCCTCAAAAGGTAGCGAAGCAGAGGCAAAAAAGAAAAAAAAGAAAAAAAAAATCCATTCACAAACTTCTTCCGCGAGGTGGCACGCCCGTTGAAAGTGGAGGGTCACGACGGCCGCGTGTGCCTCGGCTTCTGAGCGTGGAAGGAGGTGTCTTTGAGTCCCCGGGCCATCATGCGGGGATGCCATAGAAACCACACCTGTAATTACGTCGCCGATTCAGAATTCAGGATGAAAGCGCGCTGCTAGATTGATATTTTTTTAAGACCCGTGGAGTGCCAGCAGGAGGACGTGAGAGGGATTGGGTAACAGTACGCGCGTCTTCGGCAAGGTGTTTTGGGCGCTATTAAACCCGCGGCGTCATTGTCTGAATTTGTTGTCACGTGACTCCGGTGCAGTGTGCAGTTTTTGCAACTTCTTTTTTTTTTTTTTTTTTTTTTTTTTTTTTTTGCTCGATAGACCGTTTATCTCCGAACTTCTGCTGGGTTGAGAACTTCCCGCATAAAGCTCTCCGCCAATCCGGAACCGGCCATGCGACCCTCCAGCCAATCATCTCAAAGACTCGTGACCGCGAGCACCAATCACAGCCAAGCACCCGGCTACACGTGACCAATCGGAGCGAGCGCTCATCCTGGGCGAACAGTTTTGAAAAAAGAAATCGAGGATATCACCATAAATTCATAAATTTCTCTACATCATATACCCTTTTCTCTCTCTCTCAATGAGAAACAAATAAAGCTAAATTTACAAACCCACTTTCAAAACACACAAAAAAATATTAATCACCCTCAGTAGACGAAAAATAACCCGCGCCAAGAAGCGAGCGAACGAAAACAAGTGAGACGTCGTGTGTCATGGCTGAGTCGTGTGTCGTGGGCAGGCAGGTTGGAAGCGTGACCCCTCAGACCGCCACGAGGCCTTCGCAGGTGTGGATGTAAGCGCTCGAGCTCCACCACCACACCGCCGCCACCGCACACGTCCACTCGATCTACTTTTCGCGCTCGACCATGGGGGTTCAGCAGCAGCAGCAAGTCGTGAACAAGGCCAGGGCGCCGAAACCCGTCAGTGAAGCACGGAAGGTAAATAAAAAACAATCGCTATTAATCTCTGGTGGTGATTTAGAGAATATAAAACAGAAGGGGATTTTAAAGTGTTAGATTTTAAATCGTGTTTTTTTTTTTTTTTTTTTTTTTTTTTTTTTTAGATTTTGTTACGTGGACATAGGATTTGTAGAGTGCTTGGACTTACTGTTTCTTTCTCGTTTTAGATTCGGAAACCGCTCATGGAGAAGAAGCGTCGCGAGCGCATCAACACGAGCCTGAACGACCTGGCGAGACTCCTGACGGACGCCAAGATGGTCAAGTCCGACGGCGGCAAAGCCAACAAGCTGGAGAAGGCTGACATCCTGGAGCTGACCGTCAAGCACCTGAAGGCCCTGAAGACCGAGGGAGGAGACGTCAGGGCCGAGAACAGCTCGACGGAGGAGCCCGCGAGCGCCAGCTACAAGGAGGGCTTCACCAAGTGCATGGGCGTCGTGGACCAGACGCTGAGCAAGGCGGGGAAGGACGCGCTCAGGGAACGGCTTCTGACTCACCTCCAGTCCTGCCTGAAGACACTGCAGCCTGTCGCCTCGCCCACAGACGCCCGCGACGCCCACACTCCGCAGCCGTCGGAGGACACGCCCAGCAGACTCGCCGCGCCAGATGCACCTGTCACGCCCGCGACCAGCGAGGGCCCACAGGAGCCATCTACAGTGCAACAGGAGGGTGCCAAAGACGACAGTGCCTCAAAGGACAGTGCCAACCCGGAGAGTGCCGCGAAGGAGGCCCCGCGATTCACCCTGGTGCCGACCCGTCTCCCGACAGGGGCGGTCGCGTTCCTGATCCAGGGCGGGTTGGACCCCCGCCTCCTCCTGCCTCAAGACCTCACAGTTATATCCTCAAGTGCCGCGAGTGTCCCCGCGCCCACGCCCGTCGCCCCCCACACGCCCGCAGCGCCGCCCGCAACCTCCACCGTCCAGTGTCCACCCACGCCTCCCCCCTCCTCCACCCCCTGCGCACCAGCACCGTCGCCTTCAGCCTCTCCGTCCGCCACGCCCATCCCCTCGCCCGCGCCCTTGCCAGTGCCCTACCAGTGTTCCTCCCCTGACCCAGTGCAGTTTCCCACACACCCTCACGCCCACAGTCCGCCCACACCCCCACCCAGCGTCTCCCCCCAAAGTTTCCCTCGCGAGTTTAGTCACTTCCAGCCGAGTGCGAGTAGCGAGGAGGAGGAGGAGGAGATGGACACAGATGAAGCCTTGTCCGAGGAGGAGGAGGACGAGGAGGACGTGGAGATCGACGTCGAGGTGGAAGACGACGGTCCCTACGACTTGAGTATGAGGAGGATGTGGCGTCCTTGGTGA